CCCCAGCGCCGCGCCGCCCCGCCCCGAACAAACCACCGGGGCACAGGGCCGCGCTGCCGAATCTCCCCCTCCCCCGGGGCCGCACCGCCAAAACACCCCCCACGCTGCCCAGCCGGAAAAAAAAAAAGAAAAAACCCTCGAGCGCCGCCCCGCCAAACAAAAAAACAAAACAAAAAACACCGCGAGCCCCCCCCCCGCCACCCCAACATTGGCCGCCCCTTCTCAGGAGCTGCCCCAAGCACATGCTTGGTCAGCTAGTGCCTGGAGCCTGCCCTGCTTCGTACATCCTTACTCTCTGATTCTGCATGTATAGCATATATACAACAGGAGCTTGAGTTTTTATAAGACTAATGCTCTGACAGCCCCGCCTTCTGTAATTCTGTTGGAAATCACCAAGACATTTATTCATGGGCATATTATTGGATACACATCCTTTAAAAAGTGCTAAATTAGACTCCCTAGCAGTGGTGAGGTGTATGCTCTGGCCCCCTTCCTGGAGAAACTATGGACCCTTGCTAACTTAAGATATTAGATCGACAAGCTCCATACACAGAGAGCAGAACTGTGTTTTGGGATATATCCCATCATCTTGCCAACTCTCCAACTCATGGAAAGCTTAGTTTTCTAGAGTAGCCAAGTGACTTATATTGCTTAGATGGAAGAGCAGACTGACTCCAGGGAAGCTTGGCACATCAACTTGGCTGATCTGGAAGCTAAAGAAGGGGTAACATTTCAAAGAGAGACCTCAGGCAAATTTGAAAATATTTGGTTTGACTTTTTTAGAAATCTTTGATTAATTTGTAGTGGATGGAAAATGAAATGTTGTTCTCCTTTCCCTTCCCTGCCTTCTTTCCTTTCCTGTCCTTTCCTTTCTGTCTTTTTTGAGCCCTTATTTTTCGGGGAAAAAATCAATAAAATATAAATAATAATAATAATAAAAAAGATATAGAACTCACATGGCTTAAAGAAATAGTTAGGGCTGTCAAATGATTAAAAATAATTGCAATTAATTGCGAGATTAAAAAGATAGTTGAGATTAATCGAAGTTTTAATTGCACTGTTAAACAATAATAGAATATTAACAAATTTATTATAAATACTTTTGGATGTTTTTCCATTTTCAAATTTATTGATTTCAATTACAACACAGAATAAAAAGTGTACAGTGCTTGCTTTATATTACTATTTTTTATTACAAATATTTGCACTGTAAAAATGTAAACAAAAGCAATAATATTTTTTTCAGTTCACCTCATACAAGTACTATAGTGGAATGTCTGTCGTGAAAGTGCAACTTATAAATGTAGATATTTTTACATAACTGCATTCAAAAACAAAATGATGTTAAACTTTAGAGTCTACAAGTTGAAGCATGAAGAAGTATGCAAATGCTTAGCATATCTAGCATTTAAATACCTTGGAACACTGGCTACAACAGGGCCATGCTTTGACTTTCAGTGACATTGTAAATAAGAAGCAGGCAGCATTATCTCCCATAAATGTAAATAAACATTTTTGTCTTGTTTGCCCAAAACTGGGAATGGATGGGATGGATCATTTGATGATTACCTGTTCTGTTCATTCCCTGGCATTGACCCCTGTCGGAAGACAGGATACTGGGCTAGATGGACCTTTAGTCTGACCCAGTATGGCCGTTTTTATGTTCTAATGTTATGTTCTTATATCTTAACGATTGGCTGAACAAGAAGTAGGACTGAGTGAACTTGTATGAGGTGAACTGAAAAATACGACTTCTTTTTTATAGTGCAAATATCTGTAATAAAATAATATAAAGGAAGCGCTGTACACTTTGTATTCTGTGTTGTAATTGAAATCAATATATTTGAAATTGTAGAAAACATCCAAAAATATTTATAATAAATGTAAATTGGTATTCTATTATTGTTTAGCAGTGCAATTAGAACTGGCATTAATCGTGACTATTTTTTAACCTAGTTAATTTCTTTTTTTAATTGACAGCCCTAGAAACAATACATATTTCAGCTCACTTCCAGACCAGCTGTTTTCTACAGGATCCACTTGGTGCTCCTTGTATTCTCAGCATCTCTGTTGCATTGGAATCTATTCTCACTGAAAGAACTTGGGAAGCAGATACAATAGACCTCAGCTAGTATACATTGGCATAGTTCCACTGAAGTCAATGGAACTATGCCAGTTTACACCAGCTGAGGGTCTGGCCTTTATTTTTACTGATAAAGCATGAGACATGAATTGGATAATATCACATTACATATTACTGAGAGCTGAAATGAAACTTTGAGAATTGAACTATTGATCACCAGACTACCATATGAAGGCCAGTTAATGTTCCTTTAGGAAGCAAGTGACCCGAGCTATTTCACATCTCTACTCCAGAATATACTGATCTAATATCATCCACTTAAAACCCCCAACAATCCCAACATTTTATTTATTGCACAGTATTAGCAAGGTTTTACAACCTACTAAAGTATTTCTTCCCAGAAAGCGATCAATACATTTGCTCAGCACGAATGCACATGGAGTTGCCTTTTGCAGTTGGTTTTATTATATTTTTTTAAATGTTTAAAGTGATGCAAGTGCCTTTCAAAATTCTGACCTCATGGTGGCAGATGACAACATGTAGCAGGGTTTTCACCATGATTTTTGCTGACAGAAACCAGGGCTGACCCTTGGCACAGGGCCTTTGGTGGCAGTCTTCCAGGAGGTCATTTATGGCAACATAAGGTGGGCAGAGCCTCCTTTCAAAGATATGACTATTATGAACTGGCTCTGAGGAACTGTTTCAAGGATCTTTAGAAATGTTATATGGTGCATTTATTAATGTAAGTGACATAGCTGTCATCTATGAAAAGAAGTGTGTCTTTTCTCTTACTTCATAATGTCATCCATGAAGTTTCATCCAGAAGACATGTGCTGGCTGGTGGATACCTTGCTGAATCCAGGCCATCATTTCCTGGAAGCTTAATTGAAGGTTTCTTGCTTCAAGGAGTTTTCCATAATAATATAATATAGAGAGATAGTCCTATCTTGTAGAACAGGAAGGTCATTGAGTCCAGCTCCCTGCCTTCACTAGGCAGGACCAAGCACTGATATTTTCCCCAGATCCCTAAGTGGCCCCCTCAAGGATTGAACTCACAACTCTGGGTTTAGGAGGCTAATGCTCAAACCTCTAAGCTATTCCTCCCCCACCTTTTTACAGATAACATCCTTTGTACAGATAACATCAATCTGTTTTGGACTGGATTGGATGCTTCTCTGGAGTAGATCTGTGTCTAGCGGTGACTAATACAACATTGTTCTGGGTTGAATTTCATCTGCTTTTGCTCACTGAGGTATCAAATGTGTACTTGGGGGTGCTTCTGGCTATTGTTTGTAAGTTGGATTCATGCCCTTCATAGTTGGTAAAATCAAGTGGAGCCAGATTAGTTCCATATCTGCAGCATTCGATATAATTGACCAGGAGGTTAACTTACCACAGATCCTTGTGTACAGGATCACACTGCACTAGTTCTCTTCTTTCCTCTTAGGAAGTTATCAGAGGGTGATTTGGGGGTGATTGTTCATCTAGTACCCAAAAATCTTCCTTATGCAGATTCACGCAGAGTTGTATTCTGTCCCCATCTCTTGTGCAATATGAGTGTGAGACTACTGGGGAAGCTCATGAGTAGAGCTGGGCAAATAACTGATTTTTAG